TAACCGTCAAATCGTCAACATATTTCAATCTATCATGCAAGAAAACATACCCATGGTATCATAAGTATATAGTAAAACAGTACAGGTCCTAGTTTTGTACCCTGTGGGACACCTAACCACCTGTCACTAGGTATTGAGATATCACAGAATTTTCACATTGATTATGCGTTCTAAAGGGGGGGGGGTGTTGTTGTCAAGTCGTGGGTTTTGTCGGTAACCGCCTGAACTGGTACCGACCTGTATGTTTGCAGTATGTGGGTTCTCAGATGAAACAATTCTGCGGGCTGGAGAAAACAATTGTTCAATATGGGCTCCGCGTTTACACTCCTGTTCTTAGATGTCTTGTTCGAAGGTGCCAAAGAATTCATACGAATTTTACGGAATTAATACGTCCGAAAATAGTTTCATCAGGTTGGTAAAACTTAAGAGATAGGGGAATTCTTTTTTACACAACCAAAGAGTCTCACCTCGCTGACGTTTCGGTGTCTGTCAGACACCTTCTTCAGAGCTTCTGACTGGAGTACTGCATCTCGCCGCTATATGTAGCCGATGTAGGTGGCGCTTTTGCGGCGAGAACACTATCCCAAACGTGGCTTATGGAATGGCTGGAACGACAAGCCATAGCCACAGCTCCCATCAACTGTAGGCCGAAGTTATGGAAGAGGTACGTTGACGACATCATGGAGATTGTGAAGAGGGGGGTACAACAGGAACTTACAGACCATCTAAATAACACTGACCCTACGGGGAGCATTCAGTTTACACACGAAGAAGAGAAAGATGGCACGCTACCCTTCCTCGACACCCTTATGGTAAGGAAGGAAGATGGCACAGTGAAACTCCTAGTATACAGAAAGTCCACACACACAGACCAGTACCTGAATTTCCAATCTCACCATCCCCTTCACCAAAAACTCGGAGTCATTCGCACCTTACTAGACCGGTGCAATGCAGTAGTCACTGAAGATGCAGACAAAGCACTAGAGACACAGCATGTCAAGAAAGCCCTAACACGGTGTGGTTACCCACCATGGACATTTAAGAAAGTGGAACAACGAAGTAAGCAACCTAAGCAGAAGGATAAGAGCAACAAGCAGGAAGAAAA